AAACAACATTCAAATACCCCCCACCACTTTATTTCGAAAGATAGAGAAAAATTGTTTTTACAAAAAATATTCGACTTTAAGTTAACATTAAAACGCAAATACTTTTTTGTTACATTCATTGGGGAAAATCGCGAGAAACGTAACTTTATGTAATTCAAGATGGTGGAAACGCCCACTGGCGGCCATCTTGGAAACTTGAAAATAATTTCCAGCATTTTCCCTTGCCCACTTTATCTATAAAATTTTTTACCGTAGCTCTCTACGATCATTAGTTTCTGAGATACAGCCGCTTACCTCGCTTATTTGCCCACCCTGTACATAACAAAATAATCGCTCCAAATTATTTGGCAACAATTTATCCGCCAAAATTTTGGTATTTTACAATTTTCCTTGATGACCCAAACTAGCAGTTGTGTCTTTGCAATTTATGCAATTCAACGATAAATCGGCCAAATCGGTCGATAAAACTGCTCGTGTATATTCAGCTATTAAAAGGTTCCATCCCATTGTTCCTGCCTTATAACCAAAAGCAATAAATTTGCAAAACTTAGCCCTTGCTGCCATATAGAAAATGGACATCATAAAATTAGAGAGCATATTGAATTTCTGGACAACTGGCAAGCATCTTTTCGCAACAAAAAGAAGGGAAAAATTGATAATTGTTCTTCAAAGGATGCCCAGGTATATACCCGCGAAAATAGGAAGAGGAGAAAGTTTTTAGAAGTCTTTTTTTTTTTGAAGAAACAAGAGTTTCAAGTTAGCAACTTCAAATCTCCAAAAAGGCAGTTGTTCTTGGGTTTCCATACAGATTTAACCTTAGGATCTCAATGTTAATTTATGAATGATGGGTAATATCATGATTCCAAAGGACCCTGCACAAAATGAATGGAAATTGGGTCCCGCTAAATTTTGCTGGAATTGTGATATGTTTATAGTTCTCGACATTGTGATCAAAAGTTGTCATGGGCCCAAAGTGATCCTAGGGATAGTTTCGGTGATATAGAGGGGGGAAGTGTGTAATTTTGGCTGTAGGACTGAGTAAGCTTCACGAAGTTTCCAGTTGATGGATTAAAAACTGAGGTATATAATGAATTTTGACCAGTAGGTATAATGCTTTTGGGATCGCTGAACTTGAATTGAAAAGGCTTGTATTGAATATTGATGTTTTTTTTTTGGGGGCGGGGAAACTGAATTTGGGGTTAGCTTAGCCCTACAGGGTCACATTTAGGTCAAGTCAAGGTCATTTCAAGGCCAAGTAAGGAAAAGGCCTTTCACAAATGTTAACCTGTAAGTAAGTATGCTTTTAAGGTCGCTGAANATAATTTTTTTTTTGGGGGGGGGGACTGAATTTGGTGATAGCTTAGCCCTACAGGGTCACATTTAGGTCAAGTCCAAGTAAGGAAAAGGCCTTTCACAAATGTTAACCTGTAAGTAAGTATGCTTTTAAGGTCGCTGAACCTGAATTCGGAGATAGCTTAGCCCTATAAGGTCAACTGCGGGGCTTGAATTGAGATTAAGTAAAATAAAATAACCTTGACTTGATTTCCAGGCGACCTTATAGGGCTAAGCTATCCCCAAATTCAGGTTCAGCGACCTCAAAGGCATACATACTTAGAGTTTAACATTCGTGAAAGGCCTTTTCTTTACTTTAACCTTGAAATGATCTTGACTTGACCTAAATGTGACCTTGTAGGGCTAAGCTATCCTCAAATTCAGTTCATCCCCAAAAAAAACTTATATATGCCCTAGTTGAAATTCAATACAAGCCTTTTCATTAGTTTCATCTTGAAATGACCTTGAATTGACTTGAAGGCGACCTTTAGGGTTACACTACCCCCAGATTCAGATTCTGTGAGCCTCAAAACCTATACACTCACTGGTTGAAATTCAATACAAGTCTTTTCTTCAGTTTGCCTTGAAATGACCTTTACCTGACTTCCAGGTGACCTTAGAAAGTTAAGCTATACAAGAATTCAGGTTCAGCGATCCCAAAAGCATTGTACCTACTGGTCAAAATTCATTATATACCTCAGTTTTTGAATCCATCAACCTGAAACTTCGNAAGCAATAAATTTGCA